CTGCCCTGTGCCCACAACTGCCGCCCGCAGCCGCGGCGCCGCCAGGCCGTGCCGTGGCCGTGGCCGTGGGTGTTGCCGAGAGGAGGCCACGGCGGCAGCAGCAGCACCGGCCACAGGGGTCGGATCCCCGGCGCCAAGCTAGTCAAGATGCCTCCGCCGAACCAACCGCCACAGCAGCAGCTGCTCGCGCCGACGCACGCGGGCGCCTTCCGGCCGCAGCGGACACCACCGGCGCCACCTCCCCCGCCACTGCCAGTCCACATCAAGGAGTCCCACACGACAACAACAACAACAACAACAACAACAACAACAACAACAACAGCAGCAGCAGCAACAGCAGCATCCAATCCTCGACAAGGCAGCAGCAACAGCAATAGCAACAACAACTGGCCGGACCCGCCGACGATCCCGCCGCCGCCCGACTGGATCCGGGCGCAGGCGCGGCTGGGCAACCCCATGTGGACGTCGCGCGTCGAGATGAGCACCGACGGCGGGAGCAGCCGGCACGGGGGAGGGGGAGGAGGAGTGGGAGGGGGCGGAGGCGGAGGCGGGGGCGCGGGCGCGGCCTGGTGGCGGCGCCTCAAGAGGTGGAGCGTGTCCAAGACGCGGTCGACGGGCCGCCGGCTGTCGGGGCGCTGGAGCTCGCCGCCGGCTACGGCGGGTGGTGGCGGCGGTTCATTCCGGAAATCTGCGGGCTAGAGGGGATGGGGGAAGGGTGGTTATTCCGCGTGGGGAGAGGTTGGGAACAGAGGGCGAGGGAGTTTTGTCTAGGTTGATATATGTTAACAGGAGCATCTCTACAAATAATTCGATGAGCATTTCTCGTTTTGAATGTCTACGCGCCGGTTTATCTGTAATTCATATATACGACGATTGGCATCTGAGCACCACAGCCCTACATTCCTTGTATATACACGTCGTCGTATAGTGTCCAAGTCGGATGAGGTCACGGAAGTAAGCAGCAGGTAGGTGGTAGAATGCATAATTGCGGTGTGATAATAAAAATCTCGCATAAATTACATCATAAAGCGGACCCAAAATCAATAAAAACATCAATTCGTTGAACTCGTGAAACAGATGATAGCAATCAGTACCCTCCCAAATAACAAGGACTTTTAATCAAGGTCGCATCCAACACAAAAATACCACGATTGGTAGTGGCTGTGGAATGAGAGCAGTGCGACGAAATTGGTCGTCGCAGGGTGCCGGTGAGAGCACGCACACGACAGACCCGCCCAGCGGACCTGTCATCAGCGGGCGACGGGAATGGCGGACACGGGACGTGGGCAGCCAATGCGGGCTTGCGCAATAGAGGAATTAGACGTAGGTGCGCGAGTGCGAGTGCGACGACCGCCTGCTGTGACGGCTGTGGCGGCTGCTACCGCGGCGGTGCGAGTGGCGGCTCGAGTGGTAGTACTTGTCCTCCTTGCTGCTCATGCGGCCGCCGTGGAGGAAGGCCAGCATCGACGTCACAAAGAAGAAGATGCAGTTCATGATGCCAAAGGCGAAGGCGGCCTTGAGCATGGCGCACGGGCGGTCGGTGCTGACGCTGATGCCCTGGCCCGACACCTGCACGAAGCTGCCGAGGCCATACGAGTAGTACTCGCCGCGCGTGATCTGGGTGCAGTCGGCGCGCGCGATGAAGCCGAGGAAGTAGACGGCTGCGATGAAGGCGCCGACGAAGAGCAGGTCCACGACCCCGACGAACTGCGCGTTTGTGCTGCTGCGGTGGTAGCTGAAGAGCGTGAAGAAGGCCCACGCGCACGCCAGTACCGACACGATGAAGAGGATGAGGATGAAGTTGGGCGTGAGCGCGTTGGCCTTGACGTAGCCGTCGACAAACCACGAGAGGAGGCCGATGATGATGATCTTTTTTGTCGAGTCAGCACATGGACCTCTGTGTTTGAAGAGCGGATTCACAACTTACCAGAGTGATAATCTCCAGGATGCGCCAAAAGGCGAAGAATATTGCCGAAATCATGGCGGGCGGTTCTGCTCTCTCACAGGCGCAAACGATAAACTGTAGATGTCGCAGTAGTCGTGGCGTGTGTGCGTTCCTTTGTGATTGATGCTGTCTGGGCTGGCAGGTGAGGGGATCCGGGCGAGGGATGATGGGACGAACACGCGCTGTCGGGGAGTCCCTTTTTAAAAACCCGACCGACAAGGGCAGACGCTCGATGACGACCAAGCTCCCCTGATGGATGGCTAGTTCTTGGGCTGGGAGGGTGGTCGGGCAAGGGCAAGGGGATGGGGCCACTCGCTGCTCGGCCTAGCCAGCAGGGATCTTGCCTAGTTTTGGCTCCTCTTCTCTGCATTGCAGCAGACGAATTGCCTAGCCTACCAGGTAACTAGGCCATTGCAGAGGTGTGTGCGCCCCGATGATCAAGTGCTTCTGTGAAACATTCATTGCATCTTCCTCGCTTCATTCTCGCACACTCCTCCATCATCTGCTGCACTTTCCCCTTCCCTGGCAGGGCCGTGGTTTGCTTGATTGGGGTTGCTTGGCCGATGACGTGGTGTTTCCAGGATGATCGACGGAAACACAGCTCAAGAGTCAACAAAAAAAGGTGGGTGGGGAACTCCATCCATCCCTCCTGGGCTGGAAAACAAGCTTGATTCGATCGCTGCCGACGTCAACTCAGGGTCCCCTTTTCTGGCTTGCAGCTAGCTGGATGCAGCCTGCCGTCATAGGGGCATGACAGCGGGAGCCATTTGATCGGCCAGTCAGACCGAGACCGCCTGTGATGTGCCCACCGTCAATCCAATTGCCCTCACACCGCGGAAGTGGGCAACTTGGGCGGGCTTGGCTCGGTGGGAGGCTGGTGGTGGAAACGACTCACAACGTCGCGCGGGAAGGCAAAGAAACAGTGGGGTTGGACACTTCAGTGTCTCCACCGGGCTTGCTCGTGCCTGGTCCCGGCTGGGGTTCCCCGAGAAATCGTGGACGAATCATGAACATGACCAGATTGGGAAAAAGACTACAAGAGACAAGAGCATTGTGCATACATGCGGTCAAACCCGACCCAGATCATGTTCCTTACTATGTGCCCAAGAAGATCGCTTGCTGCCACCCACCGTCTCATTACATACCACCTCCCTGTCTACCCTGTACGTGCCACCTAACAAACAACACAGGAACACCGCCTCTCACCGCACTAGGCTTGGCAGATCACTTAGCCCTTCCTCGAGATCGTCGAAATCCCGGATCATCATGCTCCTAGACGTCCGATCAGCCGATTCGGCCGTCCTCCTCTGCCCCGACCCCTTGCCAGACCGCCCCTGCGCCGACGAGGACGTCCCGCCCCGGCTCGTCCCCAGCACGGCCTTGTCCGCCTCCCGCCCGGCCGGTCCCATCATGTAGCCTGTGCTGTCGTCCGCAAAGTCGTCCAGCACCAGGAACCCCCCCGTCGCCACCCGCGAGACGCCCGCCGATAGGCTGTCCGCGTCGCCGTGGCCCCGGCTGCTGCTGCGGTGCCGGCTTCCGCTCTGGTCTCGACGCCTTGGCACCCCGTTTTGCTGCTGTTGGAGCTGCATCTGCTGCTGCTGCTGCATCGCCTGCCCCCACTGGTCTCGCCCGTCGCTTGCGGGCCAGTCCACCTCGTTGACCGTCTCTATGGCGCCCGGCCCGGTTCCCGGCTCGAACCAGCGTCCTCCGCTCTTCATCGAACCGCCCGTCCTGCCCTTACGCGAGCCCGACGACACCGGCGTCCGCACGCTGGACCCCGCGTCGCTATCCGACATGACGCTGGCTGCTGAGCTGAGTGCAGGCAGGTAGCTGGACATGCTCATCGCCGTCGACCCGGTTGACCATGCCGACCTCGTGCCTCCCAGCTGACTGCCGCCTCTGCCTTTGGTAGGAAGTGGTAGAAAGCCGCCGCCGCCGCGTTGTACGGGGCTGTTGTTGCCTGACCCTCCCGACTCGGCTGCCGAGCTCTCCGCCCCACTGCCTGCCGCTGCCGCCGCCCATATCTGCGGGGCGAGCCAGCAGTACGAGAGCTCGTGTCCCGCCTCCTGTGGCGCCCCGCCGCTTCCCTTCTTCCACGGTGGCACCTTGGCGCCCTTTAGTCGTGGCGAGAGGTGGTAGGCGACATCTTCGCGGTACCGCATGTTGGGCGCGTCGACCGACACGCTCGCCAGCGTTTGCAATACCCCGTAGATGAGCGTCCACCTGCCGCGCCTCGCCGTCGACGGATCCACCTCGCCGACCCGGTCACTCTTCTCGAACTTGATGAAGGCGTCGATGAGGTTCGACTGCACAAATTCCGAGCCAAGCAGCATGATGTTTGTAGCCTCCGTATACGCAAGCGCCACCCTCCGTTCCAGGGCGGCGTTGCGGCCGCTTGCCGGCGTCGAGGCCCCGCTGCCGTTGCTCTTCTTGCTCACCTTGTCCTTGCCGTTGCCGCTGCGAGCCGCTGCTGACGACGACGGAGGCGGCGGGATCGATTCTGGCACGAGCGGGTACGGCCGTGGTATGTGCGGGAACCGGAGGCGGTTGTCGAACTCGATCAGCATGTCCGTCATTGGCAGGTCCTCGCTGTCAGCCTCGAAGCCACGGTTGCCGCCCGTGCTGACCAGCATCCACTTGCGCCCTGCGCGAGCCTCGGACCCATCCCAGACGATGTCGCGGTCAACGAGGTAATCGTACAATGCCGAAAAGTCCTTCTGCAGGTTCTGCGCCACCGTCCGCGTGAGCCACATCTCGTCGTCCGGGTCGCCCACCGCCACCCCGGGCATGTTGTTGGCCGGCGGTGGTGGCAGCGGCGGCCAGCGCCCGTACATGCCACTGTAGTATCCGACCAGAAATTTCTGGAGCCTGTCCGCCGCCGCCTTGGCCGGGCTGGACACCACTGGCCCGCTCGTGCTCGCGATTGTTGCTACCGCCGAGGGCCACATATCGCCGTACTGGAACTCGGCCAGGCGCTCTTCGGCCGCCTGGACCCTGAGCTGCGTCTCGAGCGAGGCCCGTTCGAGGAGCGCGCGCGTTATCGGCGAGATGTTCTTGAAGTCGGCGCACAGCTCCACGCGAGGGTACATGCCGGCGCAGTGCAGGAAGCACTCGCGCCAGCCCTCGCCCCAGCGCACGTCGGCCGACTCGGACCACGCCAGCAGCGAGACGGCGCCCTCGACGTCATTGCGCACATCATCAATACCCCGCGCCGCTAGGTACTGGACGATGGCGCCCAGGCTGTCCGTTTCGGCCGACATGTACGTCTCGAGCCGGGCGTGCAAGTCCCTGAGCGTCTGGTATAGCGAGAGCCCGACGAGCGAGGCGTGGTACAGGAGCGCAAAGACGTTGCGCGTCGTGATGTGGTATCGCAGCTGGTCGATCCGCGTCAGGTTGGGAGGGTTCGGGAAGTACAGCTCGTAGCTGATCTGACCATCTGCCTCGCTGTCCTCCGACATCGACATGCCGGGTGCGCTCCGGCCCCCGCTCTGTCCGGAAAGGCTGCTCTCGGCGCGCGAGGCGTGGCGATGCGCCATCATGGACGCAGGCCCGGCCACGCTCATGTCTTCGTCGTCTGTAAAGCCCTCGCGGAGGAGCATGATCAGGTATCTGGACTCGGTGGCCTCGATTATGTGCGACGACAGCCGGAACGACGGATTTGGCCTCGGCTGCTGGCCCTTGTACCCGAAGAATACGAGGACGTCTCCGCCCATGTCCCACAGTTCTGGATCTTTGCGTAGCTTGTTCCAGCGCTGGACGGGGCGCCCGCCACCGCTCCACCTCTTTATGGGCGGTAGTGACGGCGCGGGCGGGAACACTGGCGATCTGGCCGAGTTCGACTGCTGCGGCGACATCGGGGCCCTCGAGTTCGACTCCCATGGCGGCTGGTCCCCGTACGACCCCGGCGGCGGCGGCATCGGCGAGGTAGGCTCGTTGCTAAAGGGAGACCAGCATTCGTCGAGGTCGTCATGGGCCGGGTGAAGCGCGCCGTGTGGCCTCACAGTGGCCGAAGAAGGTGGTCTGAAGTCCAGGCCGGCCCTGTCCCCGTCACCGCCGCCTTTGTCCTTTTTGCGGAAGGTGAACGTCTTTGCGATGCCCTTGCGGACCTCTTCCGTCTTCTTGTCCAGGGCACTCCTGAATCCCGACTTCTCGATGCCTGACACCTCCTCCGTCTTAATGACAGGCCTCCTCGCGCGGGCGTAGGCGAAGTCCTGCAGGGGTCCCTTGAACTGCGAGCCCGAGGATGTTTCGCGGTGGCCGTCGTTGCTGCCACCGCTCTGGCTCTCACCGCTCTGGCTTGCGTAGCCCGGGAGTTCGCCAGGGCGGAAGCTCGCCAGCTCGTTCTCTCGGATCGGCTCGGCGAACTTGAGGAGCCGTGCGTTTGTGGCGCCGACGCCGGTGTCCTGGCGCCCCGGCAGGGGGAACTCGTGTACGGTAGCGCCATCGTCGGAGGAGCTGATGGTGGCCGAGGAAGATTTCGCTCGCCCACGGCCTGCAGACCCCGAGCTTGACCCCTTGTCGCCCCCGTGGGAGCCGTCCTTGGTCTGGGTGATCTTTTTGCGTACATATGCGCTGCGGCCCGACATGGCTCACGCGGAACGACAAGGGCCGGCAGGATTGTGTGTGTACAGCCGGGCGGGAGTTCAAGGCGTCGCTCCCAAGCGCTCCCAAGCGGCGCGACTGTAGATGACGAAAGAATGTGTGACGAAGGGGTCTAGGTTGACAAAAGAGGGATCCCTCACAAGAGGAGAACGGAAAATGAAATCAAAAGAAAGTATTGACAGCCGAAAATAAGGGCTCCAACGCCAAGCAAACCACCGCGGAGGCCTTGCTGTTGTGGGGATGATGGTGTGTACCCCTTGTGATAAGCTTGTGTAGCTTGTTCAGCTATGTGGGGGTGTTGGACTTCGTAGTTGGGGCTGGTCGCCTTGCCCCTAGCTTGCTTAACAGGCCTGTGACCGCGTGGCCGCAAGTTACACGGCGACTTTGATGTGTTCTCTGGACGAGGGCTAGATCGTCACTGGAACCGTTGCACTCGCGCACCTGTCCGAATAAGGCAGTTCATACGCGTTAGGATGCGCGTCTTCAGCGTTGTGCCTATTCACTGGCAACATCGTCGGAACACAGATCCGATCAGTACGTGTCAACTGCGCCGACAGCAGCAGGCAGTCGGAACAGGTCAGGCACGGACCGCCGGGTATTCCCTCTTGGACAATTCTCACCTCGATGCATTCACAGGGACCTGGGTCGAGTCGTTTTATATCAAATGGACACGGTTGATCCCTGGCGGCCGGTCGTCGACTCTTGCGCACTTTGGAGTCGCTGTGAGGGGATAAGACGGGACGAAGAAATTGAATTGGACATGGATGATTAGAGGCGAACTATTAGGAGGGATGGGATTGTTGGTTGGCTTTATTTGACCGGATAAGCCTTGGATCCTCCCCCTTTTTTTCCTTCTTTCCTTTTTTTTTGATTTTTTTTTTGAACCCTCCCTTTTGGTTTTTATTCTTCTGCTTTCTATTTTTTTTGCCTCTCCCTTGTTATTCTCTTCTTATTTGACCAGCCCGCGAAAACCGGCACGGTCATGCGGGTGTGTCCAGGGTAGAAAGCCAAGGTGTTACCTTGTCTGACATTTCTTTTTCCTTCGCCTCTAAGCCGCCGAGAATGGGTGGCTCGTTCAGGGCCCCTCCCTCCCTCGGAAAGAACCAGATTAACGAAGGATGTGCATGGGCGAATAGGCACAGACGCGGCCGCGATGTCCGGAAGGCACAACAACGGCGAATATGACGCGCCGGCGCGAGTTATAGTGACAGTGTTATATGAGGGTGTACTGGCTGGTGGATGCGAGACGGTTGCGGCAACCGGACACTCCAGACCAGGTTCCTGCATCTATCTCGGCGAAGGGGAGACCCAATGGTGTGCATCGGCTGATGGTAGGGTCGTGCTGTGCTACGGCAAGGCCTTATCAGTGGAGTTCAGCTTGCTGACCAGTGACCTGCCGTGGTCTGGGTTTACGATATGGCTTTATGTACGCCCAACCAAAACGGGCAGGCGTTCAAGGCGTTGGCAGGCGCGGCGGGTGGGCCGGCAGTTACCGGCGATCTGGACAGCCAGCGAAGGACAACCAGACCTCGTTGACTCCAGGAACAGTCTTAGCGCCCAGCAATCGTCATCTGGGGGGTGGATATAGTGATCGTCTGCTCGGTATGGTCCCGGACTCTGGTTCACCTCGAAATTACGAGCCTGGGTGTTGCAAGCGGGATGATTGACTTGAACGTCGCTAAAGCTTGAGCTTGAGCAACAAACTCAGGCCTGGTCCCAGGGCAGCCCAGACCACAGGCGTGCTGGGATAGGCGTGCTGGGATTGGCGTGCTGGGATGCAACCCCCCAGCCGGCCGTTGTGGCTCCACGCAGTAGAACCAATTGAATACAGGGATGGAAGGCACCACCTGCCTGGCTGGGCGCTGGACGCCCCCGGACTGAGGAACAGCTTCTCCGCGATGGACATCCATGATGCCCGGGGATCGACGTGCGATTCGAAACGAAACGCACCCAGCGAGGGATGCTTGACGAGGATGGCGTCGGTGCAGATAGTCAACCAACGGCACACTCCCTAGCCTAGACTGCGATCCAATCCCTTACCGAGGTCACATTAGGCTCTACCCAGCGCCTTGAGTTGCTATTAGCCAGAATTGATCCAATTGCGATCCAATTGTTCTCGGAAGACATGCAGGAGGCAGTGCAACATGCCGTGAGCATGGAGGTGGCCCAGCAGGCCTGCGATTCGCCAATTCGAGTTGTGGGATTGTGGGAACCACCAAATAATAGGTAGGTGCCAAATGAGGTCTTGGTGTCGCGCCTGCCTTCTTGAGCTGTTGTGTTCCGAACAGCTTGCCTGGACCAGGCAGGCAGGCATCCGCTGTCGTGGGCGTTGGTTGGGCTTCTGTCGAGATACTGTTGAACGGGTGGTGATGTTTTTGGCAGATGCTCAGCACACAGCAGCAACGTGACATACCAGAGACAATCTATCCCGGCCCCGGGTTGAGACCCGACCCGACTCAGTCCCTGGAGCCCCGTTATATCCCCCTTAAATCCGTAAACCCCAGGCCATTTGTAATGGAAACGAGCAGTCGGGTGTCTGATGATTCCGAATGGGGTCCGTGGTAATTAGTGAAATTGAATAAGACGTCGCCAACGACCTACATCGGATCCAGCATAGAAACAACTTGGAAGCGTGCAAACCTGCTAGAAAAGGTCCCCATTAACCGCCTCGGCGTCGCGCAACACAGCCAAGAAAGGGAAGACAATCGAATCATGGTGCAGAGATCGCTTATCAACGACGCCCTTCTGTCGTAATCAATCCATCCTTGCGCGCACCAGTCCCAACGCGTTCAGCCTCTCGAGGCGCCCGCCTGCAGCCATCAGATTGATTAAGTTCGGCGTGCGCACAGCCACAGGCTATTGGTTCGCATCTCTGGGCGTACCTAGGTTTGCTGGTACGTTTCCCCCAATCAGCCGGGCATTATGTCAATTGGAAATGACCCCAGATCTGGTCGAGCGGCCCCGAGTATATGCATCGTATCGGGTGTCGCATCATGATTGATTCGTGACGACTAGGAGGCTGCGCAGAACCCGACCAACCGACATACCCACAACCAAGTCAACATGGATAGGCTAGCTAACTCTAGCTCAGCGCCATGGCGATGGCGCCCGCCAACAGTGCGCATAGCGCAGAGCAAGACGTAGCTATTCAACGCCAAAGGTCCATAGATCAAGCCGTCGACGAGGGCCACGATGCCGACATTCCCTCCGATCTCGGATACGTGCTGTCCGAGACGGCCTCGCGCATTCGCCGCAGTTCCAATGCGGCTCCATCTATCAAGAAACCCAAACACAGCTCTGTCCCAGGCGTGGACACCCACGAAGGCGACGTCGAAAAGAACACCGGCGGCAGCTCGAGCACCCCCAATGACGTCGCAACTGCCTCGGAGGAAGAGGAGGAGGAGGGGGAGGACAGCGCCAACATCGTCTGGTGGGACGACAACGATCCGCAGAACCCATACAATTGGCCTACATGGCGCAAAGTACTTAACTGCGGGCTAGTTAGCTGCCTGACCTTCCTCACCCCGTTGGCATCATCCGTCTTCGCGCCTGGCGTCCCGCAGTTGATGCGAGAGTTCAAGAGCACTAACACTGAGCTTGCGGCGTTCGTTGTTTCAATATACGTACTGGGATTCGCATTCGGGCCTCTGCTACTGGCCCCCCTAAGCGAGATATATGGACGCACTATTCTCTACCACATCTGCAACCTGGGCTTTATTGCCTTCGTTATCGGATGCGCCCTCGCCCCGACACTCGAGGCTCTGATCGTCTTCCGGTTCTTCTCGGGCCTTTTCGGCTCCTGCCCCATCACCAACGGCGGCGGCACCATTGCAGACATGATCCCGCAGGAAAAGAGGGCCGCGGCCATGTCCGTCTTCACCATCGGGCCCCTGCTCGGCCCCATTATCGGGCCCGTGATCGGGGGCTTCCTGGCCGACGTGGAGGGGTGGCGCTGGAACTTTTGGCTGCTGGCCATCCTCGGCGGTTTCATCGCCATCTGCATGATCCTCGTGCTCAGGGAGACGTATGCGCCCGTGCTCCTGCAGCGCAAGACCCAGAAGTTGCGCGCCGAGACGGGGAACGCCAACCTTCGAAGCAAGCTGGACATTGGCCTGAGTCCCCGGGACTACTTCAGCCGAAGCATCGTTCGCCCTCTGAAGATGCTGGCGTTCTCACCCGTCTGCCAGATATTCTCGGTACGTGCACCCAGAGCCCATGTTTTATCTGCCAGCGCGCACCACGTGTCGTGCAGGACGTTGATGTGCTAACTTTCAACTCACTATCTCCTAGATTTACATCGCCATAGTGTACGGATACCTGTATCTGATGTTCACGTCCATCACCCCGGTCTTTGAGCAGTACTACGGCTTCACCACGTCCAACGTCGGCCTTGTCTTCCTCGGCATGGGCGTCGGCTCCATGTTGGGCCTTCTTTACTACAGCCTGACGTCGGACGGATACAGCAGGAAAATGGCCGCGGCGGATGGCCAGGGGATGAAGCCCGAGTACCGACTGAAACTTCTGCCGTTGGGTGCTCTCATCCTCCCCGCGGGCTTTTTCTTGTACGGATGGACGGCCGAATACCGCGTGCACTGGATCGTCCCAATTCTCGGGCATGTCCTTATCGGGATCGCGAACCTGATCATCTTTATGTCCATGCAGCTGTAAGTGTAGCCTCTCTTCTTTTTTCTTATCTCGGGGACAACACTGACTAGTCTTCCAGGTATCTCGTTGATACATTTTCCATGTACGCAGCGAGCGCCCTGGCCGCCAACACCGTCGTCCGATCTGTGGCCGGGGCTGTCCTCCCTTTGGTTGGCATCAGGATGTATAATGTTCTCGGTCTAGGCTGGGGAAATTCCCTTTTGGGGTTCATCGCTTTGGTGATGGTCCCTGGAGCATTTGCCCTTCTCCGGTACGGCGAATACCTCAGGACCAGGTTCCAAGTGAAGAACCTGTAAGACCAGGAACCTACTACTGCCTGCCCGGTCCATTCCTCTTTTCTTCTCTGTTGGCACAAGCGATGCTTTTTTCTCCTTTGCACTTTGGGCGACGGACAAAGTTTCACAGTCTGGCTGTCTCATTCCATGCATTCACACAATGCGGGGCTGCCTGTAGCATACATGGCACTGGTTAACCAAAATGCGTTGTCTACGGATCTCAAACTGGAGCATGGGAAGGGTGTTGTTGCTTGTTGTATTCTGTACATATCTTTTCCAATAACCCCACTTCTCCGTAATAGCGGAGTATTTTATGCATCTGAGTTTTCTTGCAACACCTGTTCACAGCATTTCGCGTGTTTTGTGTATGTATTGTTTTGTGCATGTTAGATGTGTGTGCTCCTTTGTGATTCCATGCTCCTTCCTGTGCCTGACCGGCTTTAGGCGTTTGCGTCATCCGTGCACGCACAGTCTGGTGGAGCAGCACCAGACAGCACCACCGCGGCCGAGTTACGTGCTGAGGGGAAGGCAGCGCCCAACGTCACCAGACTGGGCCAGACTGGTCAATTCATCGATAGCAGCTACATCGCCTCCACACGTCGACCGCGTTGACCAGAACGTCCCCTGCATGGTCACATGCGCCTGGTGACTGACAGAGTGGCAGGCGACGTGAAGTCTGAGACATCTGGTCGCTCTGATTCTTTGCTAGCAGGGCATCGCGCCTGCGACCACAGAGACTCACCCTTGGTCTCCATCGCACTGGAGGTGCCTGTGTGAGGTTGACTGTTATGTTGCTTTGAATTTCCTTCCTGCGAGTCCGTCCACCCCAGTCAAGGCACCTGCCACTCTTGATATCGTTTGAATCCGTCAGGACGGCAGGGCGACGAACGGCCTCGCTCTTTATTCTCGATGAGCCGGCCCTCTCCCGCGACCCTCCTTCCATCGTTATATCCCAGTAAGATTGTGTTTGATGTCTGTTGAAGCACCTGTCGCGCCATATCCGGCTAGCAGCTGCATCGCGCCTCCATCTTGTCAGACGTGCTGCGTATCGAGTCGAAACGACCCCGTCAGCTCCTCCTGCGACAGGCCTCCTCCTCTGTGTGCCTAGCCAGCTCACACATGCAACTATGGCCTATAAATCCTCCTTCCTCCCGCGACTAGGCCTGTCCAGAGATGCGCCACCACTGCTCCCGTTCCATACAAACCAAAGCGTCACGGACCCTCCCCTGAGGGCCAAGCGGAGCGAATACGACATGGCCGAGCTCTCTCCTCGACCCGATTCCTATCCCTCGTCGCCACCTACCAACGAGCCCTACGCCGACCACCCCTCCGCGCGATCCGACACCGAAGACTCTGGAATGGCGAGCCCATCCACCCCGACGCGCCCCAAGAGCGGCCAGCGCGTACTCTTCGCTGGCCCGCCCGCCCCGATTGCCACCTCCACTCTTCTGTACAAGGACATCGAGGGAGGCAGGTCGACCTCGATGGCGAACCGTCAACAAGACCGCTTCTCTGCGGCGCAAGCCCTGGGTAGCGTGCTGTTCAGCCGTAGGGGCGGGTCATCGTCGGCGAGGGAGCGCAGCCCCAAGTATGAGGCGGACTCGGCTTGGCAAAGCTTTGCCCGCCGCGAGAAGGCTCTTCAGAGAGACGCACAGAACCTCCTGGATGTGCAGGCGGCCGGCCTATCAGCCGGGCTGGGCCGACCCATGAGCGACAGCGCCGCCTCCTCGGACGCCGCGGCCAGCGACATGTTGGGCAACAACAGTCGCACCTCGTCCGCCGACCGCCACAGCTCCCGGACAAACCCCCAGGCGCACCAGCAACACCCGTTGTCGCAATCGCGCATAGACCCACCGGTCAGGTCGAACGCGAACGGCGGGGTGATACCGGTGCGGCAGCCGCGCGCGAATCCGATAGGCCTGCGGGCCGCCAGGGCGGGGCTCGGGCGCACCATGTCGCTGCTGGCGGACCTCAAGGCCGAGGAGGACGCGACGCTCGAGGCGGCCCTCGCGACCCGCAAGGCCGCCCTCGTGCGCGCCCGCAAGATGTCTACGCGCCGCAAGGGCCTGGCTGACGAGCTGTGCGCGCTCGAGTCGGACGAAGAGGACCCGCTGGCACAGGAGCTGCGCGGGCTGCAAGGGGAGCACGAGGACGTCTGCACCCAGATCACGGAGCTGGAGGAGCGCCTGGCCCTCCTCCGCGGCCGCCGCGGCCGCCTAGAGGACGACCTAGCGACCCTAACCAACCGGCGCGATGCCGGCCTGAGCGGCTACCACGGCGCGCTGAAGGAGGTGGACGCGCAGATAGCTGCCCTGCTTCGGCGCCCGCCTGTGCTGCCCTTGGATATGGCTGCACTTGCCGCGGTCTCGGGCGGCGCCATCCCTGACGACGCCTCTCCCGGCGGGCTAGAGTTCCTCCACCTGCGTCCCGAGAGGCGGACCATTGGCATGGCCACCGACTGGTGGACTAAGGAGGTGGAGATACTCGAGCAGCGGAAGTCGGCCGTCGATAAAGAGCAGCAGGCCCTCGAGGAGGGGGCCGAGGTGTGGAGCCAGGCAGTCAAGCTCGTCTCCGACTTCGAGGCCGACCTGCGGAAGCAGATGACTGGCGATGACAAGGCAGACCAAGGCGCCGAGCCCGGCACGGACGGCACCTTTGGGCTACAGCTGAAGAAAATGCGGGCCGTCATCGCCGGCCTGGACGGTCTCCTACATACCGTCGAGCGCAAAAACTGGAACCTGCTCATCTGCGCCATCGGTGCCGAGCTCGAGGCGTTCAGGGAGGCCTTCATGATGCTACGCGACGCCCTGATGTGGGTCGAGACCGGCGAGGAGACGCCTCGCCTCGCCCGCTCCGCCGTGAACAACGCGGAGCCTGCCGCGAACCGGCAGAAGAAGGATGGGGAGGATAAGGAGGACAAGAAGGATGGTGAGGACAAGGAGGACAAGAAGGAGAGAAGCAAGGGTAACGACGCCCTGGTAGATCTCGAGCAGGACGACCACGGCGATCGAGAAGAAGCCGCACCAGCACCAGCACCAGAAAAGGCGGCCGCCCGCGACGAGCAGGCTCAGCGAGGCGCGGACTCGGACTCTGTCCCTAGCCTCGACAGGGACGATAGCGAGAACGAGATACCGCTCGAGTTTCTAATGGAACATGCAGCATGAGACTAGAATGATGGATTTTTTAACGATGCTACAAGACGTTACGAGAATACCCAAGTTGGTGGCTTGGGACGAGTACAGGATCGCCGTTGGATTATGAGGGCAGAGGTACAATGAGATGAGCACGGAACCCCCCATTTTTTTTTTCTTTCACACTGGGTTGATCATCGTTCTGAACATGCGTTGGGCGTTTGGGGTGCGCGGAGATAATTCCATGTTTTCCACTTTGGTACCTTTCTGCATGTCACGCGACCCGAGCCATGGGCCGCTATTTCGTGGTTGTGATGTATAAAATGGGACGTCAAGAGATCGGGGGTTTCCGGGCACATGTGGGCCGGCCGTCGGCCACACGGGGAGCGCCCTTCCTCGCAGCCGGATCCGCCCTCACGCACCAGTTATGGGAGCTGGCCCTATAACCTCGGCTACCGCCCGGGGGCCCTGGCATAGGTATCCAGAGGATGGGTTTAAAAAAGGCACCAAGTAAGGGTGATTTCTTGATGCGCAACCCATCTAGTCGGGTTACCAGGTAGGCGGCATGAAACTCTGGGCCCGCCGCGCAAAGAGGGCACCATAAAACGCCAACCCGTCGTATAAATGGACAGAACCTTGCGAGACGCAAAACCAAAAGACGTCGACGCATGGACACTTGTGTTCTCATTATTCACACTCTCTCCCAGATTGCCCGTCTTCCCTTCCTCGCACGCGGGTGGTAGAGACGGCCTAGCGAGTCCTCTCAAACCACCCGCTCGACCCTGCCACGGCGACGGACTGGTCCAGGAGCCACTCGCCTACACCGAGGTATTTTCCGAGCCAGCCGTTCAAGTCCTTGTTCTCGCCAGCGATGCGATCCGTCTTGAGCCTGCGCACGGCCGAGGGGGTCAGGGGTTAGTATTCGTTTCTGGCCGACCAAGGGGCGCTCTGGTTGCGAGGAGAAATAAAGGCGGTTGTGCGTGGCGCGCGGGTGGTGGGCAGCGCGACGCCGAGGATGGTGGGATTCTGTCAGACTCACGTCAAGCCTGTCGAGCGCTTCATGCCAGCCAGGAACGCCGAGACTAGAGCGCAGGGAGGAGAGCGGTGAGTCAGTCGCTTTGCTTCTCCGCACGCGCCGAAAGAGCCCGTACCGTGGCAGCGCTGCTCGCGCTGCCAGGGATGGAGTCGCAAACTTACAGAGAACAGCGTCAAACGCGTAGTGCGTCAGTCTTCCGACCTTTGACCACAGGCCGAATGTCAGTAAAGTGAGGAGCTGTGCCTGCTTTTTAGACAGTGTCCACAGAAAGAGTCCCAGATGGCGTCGCCAGGGAAGAGGCCGCCAGCCTGGGTTCCGTCAGGTGCGAGCGAGGAGCGATACCTACCACCATCTTGTCCGATTTCAGGGGCTGTCGTTGCGTCAGGCGGTGTCGGCGCTGCTCAGCGAGGACTACACAAGATCAGGTTGCGTGCGGTAGGTGCGTGTTTTTATTGCGACGGCGGTCGAGCGATCGTGCGTGTCGCGGCGACGAGGTGGGTTTATTTCTGCAGGTTCAGCGGAGCGGGTGGTGAACGGGGAGAGAGCTTGTGCGAGGCCAGCGTCGGCGCCGAAGCATTAAAGTTGGCGGGAGTCAAAGTCTGGGCCGCGATGTCCCCTGCGTCTGCCTGTGCCGGGGGGTGGCACGAGCTTGCGCATCCCAGCGGCGGCCCAGCCTTTCCGCCTCTCAAGGACCCTCCTGGGCAGGCCGCGCTAGAGCACGCCACGCCACGCACGCCACGCCACGCACGCCACGCCACGCACGCCACGCCACGCACGCCACGGCACATGGCCAGCTCACGACAGCCACGTCCATCCTTTTCCAGCCACGTCAGCTGATTATGGAGTCACGTGACAGCAACAGACTGAGCGCATGGAGACGAAGAGGGTGGCAACCAGCTAAAGCTCTCCGCTGTCCATTTAGGAGCCCGGGCCACGGCATGCGCCATCAAGGATCTCACAGGCAGGGACTGGCAAGGTCTTCTCTCATTGAAGCGTCATTGCTTGTCAAGCAGCCCGACATTTACACCTCCGAACATGGGGTGTGTCAGGCACTTCTCATCCAGTCGTCACAAGATAAGTGGCCCACGCTGCTTATCCTGACCCCCC